AGACTATCTTTGTTATTTTGAATGCAATTTATTGGAATATATGCCTCTGAAATATGTATTTCAACTTTAACAGCCTCTGAAAAGTCCATTTTACTATCATGCCTCTTTTAACGACATTAATTTGCTCAAAGTACCTTTGTTCTGTTAATAATATATTCTTTTCCAAAGTACAGAATTTTGAAATGAAACTACATATTCAAATCTTGAATCTTCTAACACTGAAAAAAAATGGCTTGTAGACAACCAAAGCCTTCAAAGAATCACTTGGTGAACTTTGGAACAAGGGGACATCTAAACAATTCAGTAGTAACAAGCTCACAAAACAGTCACTATAGATTCTTGGGACTTGGCATCCTCAAAAATGTAAATCATCTACAACAGTTACGGATGAAAGGCAAATATCACTGCACTTGGCTCCATTTGCTACAAAGTTCAATTTCTTAATGATTTTCATTTGACTTGTCAAGATTCAAGTTCATAGCAACTGCTGAAGTAAATGCTTCCTTCCCTCCCCTTTTGATGTCTCTTACAACACACATACACATACCCCACTGAATCACAGAAATGATACATTTAGCTCAAAAAACAATCCTAGCCAATTACTCATCTACTTTTGAGGATTTCATTAACTGACAAGGAAGAATGATTCAGCTGCTGACAGCAAATATTTAGAAAGTTAAAAAGTATCAAGAATGTATAAATATTTTCTGTAGCAGTCTGGCTTTTAGGGTTTTTTTACTTCTAATAAATGTGCCTAAATTATCATTCTTTTATGTACTTTTTAACATAGTCTATATTCTCCTCTCCACTACTGTAAAATTACAGTAACCTTCACAAAAATAAAATTTCCTTACTTAAAATAATAATGAAAAGTCCAATCTTAATAAGCAATTAATCCTCAATTTCATAATGCCCTTTTAAAAACCTTTTAAAAGCTGCAATAATTTCTTCCTAAAGAAAATACATAGCATAAATGTCTTCACATAAATATCACCAATATTCCCTTATCTTAATTTAATGATATTCACAGGTTAACAAAATAAAAAAAACTATCTCTTGTCACCATACACACCAGAAAACATGATTATTAAAATTATTAAAAAGCACAATTTAGCAAATGTAGTACATAACTTCAAATTACCTTTTAGATTTAAGAATCCAGAGTGAAAATAATTATTAAAGGACCTAGTAAATTAAAAGGAATTTAAAATTGACATAGATTTGATGAAATAGAATAATCAAACAGTACATGTAATCTGTTTTGATTTGTCAATTTCACTGGGCTTTTTTGAGTATTTAAGTAAGTAATCTGAAATCCTGACAACTTTAAACATGAACTAGAATTTAAAATCCGTATCATCTACTGAATTATCAACTAATATCTATATTGTTTTTATCTTATTTAGACTATATAATAAAGAAGAAAGCTTAATTCTCTATGGCATTGCCTCAACCCATAAAAAGCATCACTAACCATTTTTCTTACCTTCCAAAAGTGGGAAACTAAATTATCTATGCTAGAGACAAATCAAAAGTAAAGTTACAACTTTATATTAAATATTTAGTATTAATATGTTTTATATCCACATATGGAAAATACAGAACTAAAGCCAAGCATTAATTTCTAATTCAACCAACTGTTAAAATAGGAGGCTATCATATGATTTTAACTCCAGTAAAGTATTTTCTGTTTCTGTAAAAGTGAAAATTGATGCAGCAAAAGCCTTTGTTGTAACTTGGGATTGGGTGGGTTTCCCCCCCTTTTTGATATTTAATTCAACTATACACAATGTAGTACATAGAAGCAAAATACAATTGAGATACTGTTTTCTTTAACATTCCTATAGGAGACCAAATTCATTTGCATTGCAGAGAACACAATTACCAATTTTTAATTCATGAAAGACAGATTCATAGCTTTTCCTACACTACCTCATAGTATTCACAACATCTCAGTGGAAGCAAGAACTATTTAGTTACTTCCTAGAGGTGGGCAGAAACAGCATTTTCCAAAGTTTTGTTTCTCACAGAACCACTGAACTTCAGTTATAAAAGTACATACAAGTGAGTATACATTCTTAGTTCAATTTATATAGTATGTGGGGGGTGGGTCTGTGTGAAGACTAAATTTTCATTAATATAAAATAAGGACTGTCTATTAAGGATGTTTCTGTAGCTTTGAAGAGTATTTTAAACTTTATCAGTTTTTCTTCTTTATGACTACGTTAATCCATCTACACCTTACCACTGCTAAAATTTATCCAAGGAAGTATCAACAAACATGAATAAGAGGCGAAAGATCCCAAGATTTTCAGTAAGTAGAACCTGAAACCAATTAAGAAAGAGACATAGATGTTTTGTACATGGTTTACATTACAATAATTTGCATTTAATAAGAATGAAACCCATGTGGCAAAAAGAAAAGCATTTTATACTCCTGAAAAAACAATGATATCTTGTCTTTCTGTTATAAAATAATATCTGAATGATGTTTAGACAAAAAAAAACCTAACTGGTAAAGAGTGGCAAAGAAATAACATCATAACCCAAGTTAAATACAATCTCCCTCCAAGTATCCCCTAATGAAATATATTTGGGATATTAACTGTTTTAAATATTAAAACTGTTTTTTTAAAAAAAAATCAATACACTATAGAGAAAATAAATGAGTGCTCAATACTTGAATGAATTAAGTAAGCAACCAATGGGAATGAATTGTTTTCATCACATTTTCACTTGAAATAACAGAAAAACCACATATAGAACTGACTTAACAGGGACAAATTTACTTATGACTTGTTAATTTTCAGAGAAATGCAACAAAAGAACACCAAAATAGTCACCATATAACATGAAATCTCTGGTTTCACATGTCAGAGTCTCTGAAAGCCACCAACGTGGTAGTGCCCTGTACATGAGAACACACAGCTGCCTCATCATCCCAGGAGTCTAAACTCAGTACACAATACATTAGCCATCTTTCCCTTACCTTGTCACACAAGTAGCTAATTTCTGTACTTTAAACTATTAAAAGAGAAGGGGGGGGATGAAAACTATCCAATCAGAAATTAAGTAAACCCTCTACAGCAGCAAGCTTATGCATATATTTGGAATGTAGGAAGGTCTTCAGTGTTAGTGAATCATGTAGAGTACATTTTAATCTACCTCCTGGGTATTTCATATCACCCACATATTCAAAGAAATCATGGACTAATAGGGCTAAGTCCTACATAGCTCTTTAGAGCATTTATTCTCAAATTCTAGGACATGGCTTTAAACACTACTGCAAACACAACAAAACTATTCAAGAGATACTTTAGCTAATAACAAATTACTTCTACATTTTTAAATAAAAAGATAAAGGCAAGGAAAGATGCTAAATGAAGACAGTGGTATATTTAGGAGATATGAATAATATTAAATTCTTCATTTCACTTATAGTGCCACATGAAATAACTTACATTTCAACATAAATAATGAAGATATCAACTAGTAAAAGTTAAAATTCTAATTAATTTTGCAAACTATAAGCAGAAAAAAGGACTCACAACAGAGAGACAGCCAACAAAATAAGACATTTGTAATACATAGCCCATCAAATATTTTTTGTCGTTCTTTCTTTCAACTCTTGTTCAGTACAGTTATGAAAATTTCCAGTGTTGTGAGAAGAGTAATTCAAACTTACAAAAACTACTTAACAACATAGCCGAAAACTTCAACTTGGATTTCTCAAGGAAAAAATATTTTAAAGAAAAGTATACAAATTTAGAATACCTTATGGAGAAGCCATTCTATCTCTTCCTAAGGGACAAACTGTACAGTTACCCATGAAATTGCAAATCACAACTCTTCTCTTTAACAAATTTTTTTAAAAAAGAGGGGGGTGCTGTACCTTTCAGTTATGTCACAGAACCATTTGCAATAAAAGGCTTTTATTGCTTAAATTAAAACTAGAAATCTATATAGTTTTTATAACCCTTTTAGTAAAACATCTAAGTACATAGTTAGAAAATTATTTTTATTTCAATTCTCACACACTCAAAAAAGCCAAATGGTTTCCTTACTATCACATTATAAAGATGGAAAGTCAAAGCCTTCACGTAGGGTTTCCTAGTCTTCTACTTAATGACTAATGGTGCAGAAATGTATGTGAATGAGATATAAACTAAGTTAAAGCAGACAGCAGGGGGTGGAAATTAGAATGAGTAATAAAGGACACAAATTTAAAGTGACATTTATTGTGATTTACTTTAAACAAAGACGTTCTTCCTTGTTTCTACTCACAGATATTTCCCTTGTGAGCGTATCACTGTGAATATTAAACCTCCACAAAGCGTATGACTCCTTCATCAACAACAAAGTTCTTTAAATACAACCATGGCGTTCAAAGTAATGCTTGCTTAGCTTCAGACATTTCTTAAATGCAGTAACAACAAAATGCACAACAGCAATACTCAGTAGTTTCAGTGTCTACCGAAGTCTGGCTTTCAACTGCCATCCAACCCAAAGCAAGTGCTTTCCATTCCTCTGCAAAATACTGATCCCTTACTGAATGCCATTATCACTCAGCATTAAACTCTCTAAAAAAGAAAACTAATTAATCGAGAAATTTAGTTAAGCAATCTAGCTGCCACAGTAAATATTTATTCTTTAACATCTCACAGGAAGTCCTGACAAGCATTTGTTACCATTGTGCTGGGGGTTGGGATGGGAGTAGGGGGTAGGAGACAACTTTTGATAAACAAGTTAAAAGGTCCCAGAGAACTTAGCATAACTAACGTTCCCACACCCCACTAATAAGGCACTACATACTTTCCAAGTACTGCAAACACCTTATATAATGAAAGTAAAAATGGAACTGTCGAAACCATATATTTCCACTAACAAAACAAACAAAAGCCTTTCTGAAAACTGAGAGAGCACATTCTGAAAAGCTGAATGTAACTTTTTTCACTTATATGCAAGCCCAATCACAAAACAACTAAGCAAAACATATTTACCTTAGCTTTTTAGAGACTGAGTAATCAACTTCCATGATTTTCCCATGCAATTCCACTTTACCTTTAAAACAGAAATTAAAACACTCAGAACCTTGCTTAGCTCAGCCCGGCGGGGGTCTAGCAGGGCCACGCACAGCACTCCACCGAGGGCTCCGCCTTCGGGCGGCCTCCAGGGGTCTCCCACCCGGTTCGAGCTGGGCGAACTTGGTTCTCAGCGTAAGCAAAGGTGGGCGCCCCGTATCTCGGTGAACGAGGGAGGGAAGGGTGCGAGCCCGGATCAGACCCCAGGTAGAGCTGTGGGTGGCATTACCGGAAAAACAAATTTAATAAAGAGCGGCGCCAATTTGAAAGGATGAGCTCATTTGAAACTCAAGCTGCAGGGCTGGCGCGGCCCCTCTGCTCCCCGTCCCCCACTTCCCCACTGCGCTAGCCCGGGACCCGAAGGCTCCGCTGCGCTCCCTCCTAGCCTTCCCTCTCTCTTGTTGGCCCCGAGAAGACGCGCCGAAGCCCCCCGGGGTCCGCCGCTGGGAGAGCCCTTTCCCTGCCCGCGTCTGAGTGTCACCTTGGCCGCACAGCCACCCCGCCCCCACCGCGCGCGCCGGTGGGGAAGGGGCTCCGGCACCCCCAGGGCGCGGGGGTCGCAGGCCCGTGGCCGGGGGGCGAGCGCGGCTCCGAGCGGAGCGTGTGCGGGAGGGAGAGTTGGGGAGTGCGCGCGCGCGCGAGTTGTGTGTGTCGCTCTCCGTCTCCCGTCTGGGCTCCGGCGCGCTCGCGGGCCCCCCGGTCGCCTCTTTCCCGGTTCTCAGCCCGGGCCCCCACCGAGTTGAGACAGGGCACCTCGTAAAAAGGTGCTCCTGGCCGAGCGGGAGGCGGGGGGACGGGCGGTGGAAAGCCCCCAGCCCCGATTTCTTCTCAATAAAATCGGACAAAAAATTCAGAGAAAAATAGGAGCGCTGGAGAGACGAGCGAGAGGGGACTGAGGTCCGGGAGAGGACCGGGGAAGATGTGCCGTCGTTCACGAGCTCGAGTTGGTGCAGGGGGACCTCGGATAGGATCACTGGGGGGTTCCTAGGGGGTGCCCAAAGTGGGGGGCTTTGAGGCGGGAGGGAAGGGGGATCTGAACGGGAGAGCGGCTCGGAGGACGCCAGAGGACGAGAGGTCCTGGGCACGAGGCACGGGATGGTGGAAGGTCTGGCAAGGGAGGAGGAGGGAGATGCAGGACTTTGGGGGGTGTCCCTGACAAAGGGGGTGACGGGAAGGTCAGAGATGAAGGGGGACAAGAGGCTCTCCAGCGGTGGGGGGTGGGGGAACTCCAGAGAACAGCTCGGGACTCTGGGGAAACGAGGGGTGCCCCCAGAGAGCGAGCGAGCCCTGGGGACCCTCGGAGCCGCCCGGAGGGCGCCCCAGGACTGTGGCCCAGCCGGCGAGGGGTGAGCCCGGGGGTGTGGGGGAGGGGAGCGGGCCGTCAGCGCCGCGGGCGGGCAGCGAGAGTTGAGTCTCGGTGCGTGGAAGCGAGCGTGCGGGCACGAGAGTCCCCGCGGGGCGCCGCCCGCCGCGCTCGGCCTCCTCAGGGGCGCCGTCCCGGTCGGAGCGGGGCACGGCGGGGGCAGGGCGCAGCGCCGAGTGCTCACCGGAGAGGGTCTCGATGGCGCGGATGGCCCAGTTCTGGTCGGGGTAGTCCACAAAGGCGTAGCCGGACTTGAGGAGGACCTGTCCCGCCAGGGGCAGCTTCCTGTCCCCGAAGAGCTGCCGGAGGTCGTCGGCGGTGACGGCGGGGCTCAGGTTCCCGATGTAAAGCTTGTTCATCATCTGTCTCTTCCCCGAGAGCCCGTGGCTCCCCCGGCCCGGTACCCGGCGCTCCTCGCCTCCTCCGCTGCCCTCGTATCTCCTCCTCCTCCTCCGCCCCCCCTCCCCGCCCTCCGCCCGCCCGCCACCCACCCCCACCCTCCGCCTGGCTCCCCCCACCGCGGCCGGCCCGGCCCGCCCGGGGGCAGAGGCGGAGGCGGGGACTCGGCGCGGCTGCCTCCTCGGGGCAGAGTCCCGGGCCGGGCGGCGGCGCGCGGACAAAGCTCTCTCTCTGCCTCCCACTCTCTCTCTCTCTTTCTCTCTCTCAAGGCGGTGGCGGGAGGAGGAGCAGCAGCGGGCGGCGGCGGCTCACCCCGCGTGTGTCTGTGTGAGAGTTTGTACGGGCGTGTGCGCTGCCGAGAGGGAGCGAGCGAGCGCCCCCCTCCCCGGCCCGCGCCGCTGCGCCCCTCGCCTCGCACCCGCCGCTCTCCGAGCGCTCCTGCCCCGCGCCGGGCGGGCGGAAGCGGGTCGCGGTCCCGAGCTGAGGCTCGCTGGCGCCGGAACCCCCGTGCGACCGTGGCGCGGAGGCCGGGCGAGTGGCGGGGTGGAGAAAGCGCTCCCCGGGCCCGGGTGGGACTTGCGTGAAGGGGGCGCGGGCTTGGGAGGCAGCGAGCGTGTTGGTGAGCGTGGTGAAAGGGGTGTGTGCAAGGTGGACCGGATGTAAGTGCGCGGCTGCCAAGGAGAGCGGGAAGGTGTGTCTGGGAGGTGAGAGGCGAGGGCAGGCTGGGAGACTACAACTTTCGCGGCGAGTTGGCCAAGTCGAGCTCCCTGCGCGTTCCCGGGCGCAGCGCTCGCCTGAAGACCCGCTCCCCGCTCGGCTTCCCGAGGCGACTGGGCGGCCCGTGTGGTCGAGGGATCTCAGACAGGAGTCTGGACGCCTGGGTCCTGGGGCAGGCCCGGCTGTCACGTGGTAGGCACCCCTGAGAAATTCCACCCAGTCCTGGGCCTCAGTTTCTTGACTCGTAAGGGAAGGCAGAAGGCCAGAGCAGAGTCACGTCCCCTCTGCCCGAATCCCAAACGTCCAGAATTCCGTGACGAGCGGCAGCCTGGAGCTGGCAGCTTCTCTCTATTCTGGGACGTGCCCAGGGCTTCCAGGCGCCCGCTGAGAAGCCAGGTGGAGAGAGAGCAGGCGAGCGAGGAGGAGCAGGGGCGGCGGCCAGGTCCGGTCCGGAGCCCGGTGGGAAGGGTGGGTGCTGGGGGCGCAGAGGCGCGCGGCGGTGGACGAGTTCCCTACAGTTAAGGACGGCTGAGAGAGGAGAGAGGTCCTCGCAGGCAGAGGAAACAGCGTGACCGACGGAAGAGGCTGGGCTGAATGGAGAGCTGCCTGAGCCGAGGGTCTCTGGAAAGAGGCACACTGGCTGGCGAATGGCGAGTTATGGAATTAGCAGGACCCTAGTGTGGAGAGCCTAGTCCCAGGCAGGAAAGGAAGCTCTCCAGTCGGGAGAATTGGAGCGTTCATAGGATAGGTGACGGGGACGAAGATAATAAACACTCCGTGGAGTTGAAGGGCGGTGGGAGAGTGAAGGCTTAACCGGGAAGATGTTGCTTTTTGTTAGTGGATGGGAGCTCTCTGTGGGAAAACTTCAAATGGAATGAACAGGTCCAGGCCTCCTGGCTGGGTCTTTCCACGTCCGCAGTCCTTTCCGAGGACACTGGCACAGAGCCTGGATTTTGAGGGGTTTTTTCCCCTCAGCAGGACCTTGAAAGAGTTCGTTCTACTTTGACTTGCTGATATGCATTTCCACCTCATAAAATCCAGTTCGAAGCCCTCGTTTTTTTCTCTCCAGACTTATGGGAAGCACTCCTGTGGTCTTCCTCCTCTCTTTCCCCTACCTGTGTGGCCTGGGGTATTCCAGCATTTCTGAGAAAAAGTTTCTTCATCTAAAAAAAAAGGGGGGGGGATGAAACACCACCCCTCGCAAGGAGGTGGTGAGGGCTACGTGAAGGGTAAATGAGCACGGGTGTTGAGACAATGTGCGTGCACCATTAATGCTACTTTCTTCTCTCCTCGCCCCCCTCGTGAGTTTTCTGTTTGGGAACTCTTCAATTAATGAGTTGCCCTGTGGAGAAACAGTGTATCTATTTTCATCTAGATAGTTCTAGGTATTGAGACCTTTGCTTCAAATGTTTGCGCTTCCTCCTTTCTAGAAAATAAATGGAATTTTACTGCTTCAAAGGTTGAGAATGGACTTTGCGATTATTTTCCAAGCTAATGGATAAACTAGATGTGGAGGCTTCCTCACTAAAATGTCGTGAAAATAACAAATGAAAACGGCCTGTGTATACATAGCCCTCCCCAGACTAACCTCAGGTGGCTGGAAGGGTGATAATGGGTCATCTTCATGTCATCAGTAGTCCATGTGTTCTGTTTACAGTAACTCCAGGTTACATGTTTCTAAATGAGATTGAGGAGTAGCAGGGATAATTTTGCTTCATCCTGGAAGGTTTGTGTAACTTTTTTGTTGGGTTATATTTTCACACATTCTTTGGTCCTACTATAAACCTTCAAAGACATTGTAACATTGTTGCAGGAGTGTACAGCAAACATAGTCTAAGAATTCTGCTGCAGACAGAACTTCTGGTGATCCCTTTGTCCACCAGATTACTTCCAAACTCCTATCTGAGAAATAACTACTAGTTTAGTGTCATTTGATTCTTTTATCCTGCTGTGACTCATAAAACAGTGCTCCTGCAGAATAAGGGCTTGAACGCTTAAGACAGAGAATATTGCATTCAACTTAGGGTGGGAGAGGAGGGCATAGGGGAAGAGGCAATGGTGAGAGTAGATGCTAAAGCAGCTTTACTAGGACAAGAGCAAGAGGAAGAAGTGAAAAACATCCTAGGAGAAGGTGGTGGTGGTAGGTGCTGTTGACTCATAGCAACCCTGTGAACAATGGGTGTGAGCCTGATCCTATCCTCCAACACACTCAAGTCCATTGTCACCAGGTCAGTCCATCTGGCTGAGGGGCTTCGTCTATTTCACTGACCCTCCACCCTCCACCTTTCCAATCATTGTCCAGGGAATAGGCTCTCCTAGCAACATGTCCAAAGTATGTGAAACTAGGCATTCTTATCTCTACCTCCAAGGAGCATTCTGACTATACTTTCTCCAAGACTGTTTGTTCTTTTGGCAGTCCATGGGCTAATCTGTCACATACTTGAAATCAAGTCCAAACATTGATTTAGAAATAAATTTGAGATGGAACAGAGGAAATCTCTCCCATCCTAGTTTTGCAAAATAGTAGAACTTTGTTATTGTTCATAATACCAGCACGTAGAAGAGAGAATGGTCTGGTGGCCTAGCTGCCAACCCAAAGGCATGCTGTTCAAATCTACTAGCTGCTCCAAGAGAGAAAGATGGGCTATCAATTCTCATGTGATTTACCGCCTCTGAAAACCCACTGGAGGATTAGCAGTGAGTTCCAACTTGATAGCACATAACAACAACATGTGGAAGAGAGGGAGCTCTGGTGGCCTTAAGTGTTAACGGATTGTGCTGCCTAACCCACAGGTGTGTCATTTGAATTCACTAGATGGGTAGCCTCCTGTATGACTCACTGCCTCTGAAAACCTGCAGTGTCTTGTCAGCTGTGGGTTGGTTCTGACTCAACAGTACACAACAGCAGCCTCCTCCAAAACAATTTCCAGAATGAAACATGGATCCCCCAATTAAACCATTTCACTGAAGGCCCTCCACAATGAAACAAAAGACACAGAGCAAAGCTGGGTGGAGAATTGAGAACTCCAGCAAATTCTGTAATGTCTACTTTAGAATAAAAATGGGAGTGTATTTTTCTAAAACAAGGAGATAAAAATAAAGTAGAGTCTTCAAAACTTGAGTGGAAATTCTTTTCCATCTGGAATTCTAAGCCTCTTTGGATTAACAAACAGATGTGCAAAGATTCAGGCAGGTACCTCTTCTTTGGAAGCAGCTTCTAGTGTGCGGAATTTATTGTAAGCAAAGAAGAGGAAGACGTGGGATTTGAGAAATAAGGAGTCCACCATGGGAGATTATGGACAGAAATTTAAGATGCCGCCAGTGCAGTCTCAGAGAGTGACTAACACCAATTGGAATAAGAGGCGAGGTGGTCCAGGGGAAGAAGGAACTGATGCGTGTTAACTTTCTGACAGAATAACAGCCATGTAGGAGCCCTTAAAAAATGTAAATCACAGGTATATGGGGAACCAGGCAAATATAAAAATAAGGAAATCATTAACTCTAGGAAAAACGCATCATCTTACAAGAAAAGAGCAATAGTGAAAATGTTTGTACGGTCCAAATGTAAACAATGTACTATCTAGATTACATAAAGAATACTTAGAAATCCATTAGAAAAAAACCCAACCATTAGAAAAAAGAACAAAGATATTTCAAAGAAAGACATTCCCGTTGTCAGTATGCTCAAATTATGGGCAATTGGAAAAATAAAATCATTTACCAATATCAACTTACCAAAAAAATTTAAAATTCCAGTGATGGAATATTTTGATGTGGATGTAGAGCATTAGAAACTCTCATCCACTCCTGGCAAGGCAAGAGAGCACAGGGCATCTTGGTTTCTCCCTGCCCAAAGAAGAGAGAGGAGAAGACATGCTGAAACAATTGGTCCAAGCACTGGCAGGCCACTTCAATCTCCCACTTCCACAACCCAGACACCTAGATGGAAGGCAGCTTCCACCCACCATCATTCTAAAAGGTGTCCCAGTCTAAGATCCTGTGCAAGAAAATGTGGAACAAGACTTAGAAACAAACCGGTCACAGAGCCTAATGGATCCCTGATACAATGATCCTTAGGTGAAAACACTCCCAATGACTCGACTTTCAGCCAAACTATACACAGACCTGAAAGTTCTAGGGAGCTCTAGTGGCCTAATGTTAAGAAACTGTGCTGCAATCCTGAAGGCACACCAGCTGCTCTGTGGGAGAAGGATGGGCAATCTCCTCCCGTAGGATTTACTGGAGAGTCAGCTATGGATTGGTTCAGACTCAATGCCACAACTTAAGGTGAACGGTAACACGGGGGGGGGGGAGGCGTT